CTCTCTCTCTCTCTCTCTCTCTCTCTCTCTCTCTCTCTCTCTCTCTCAGTACCTTCGCTCGATGTTCCTCTCCAGCTCTGCCAGCCTGATGATGGCTATATCAAGGGGATTGTGGGGCCGTCGCACCACCGTGCCAGGGAGTTCGTCCTGGCTGGTTTCTCTCTGTCCTTTCTTCTCTGGAGCAGGGGAAGCAAAGAGCTTGTGCTCGTGGTAGACCAGATCCTCCCTCTCCGACTGGGGCTCGGGATGCATCCAACCCTGAGGGAGACATTGTTACATTTCATGACACAGTAATTAATATCAAGACAAAGTGAGGACACTGACACAAGGACAAGCATACTTTGGAGAATTACTCGTGAAAATTAATTTGAATAAAACCAGTGTTTTATTAGCCATATGGGCTGTATGAAGATGAAAGAGTAGGATGCTCATTTGCACAAACCTTGACCTGCAGGCTGGCAGATATGACTTTCCTCTCCAGACCCTCGACTTGCTGCAGCAGGCTGATGTCCACCTCCATGGCCTGCTCCTCAACACACCAACCCTCCACCGTCTCCTCACGCAACTCCCCCTTCTCCAGCTCTGCCACATCAATCGCTACCACCACAGATACAAACAGAAATTACAAACTACTGTCTACTTAAAGCAAACTTATTATATTCAATGTAAATCGACCAAATGCCAATAATATATTTTTATATCACTGCATGTCTGTTGTTGTAAAGAGAGCAGGGGAAATGTGGACTAACCGTCCTTGCTATTGGCACAGAGCTGGTTCGTATACTCCATATGTTTTTGGATCTGTTTCTGCAAGGCCTTCTCTCTGATGCCTCGGCTATGGAGGGCCTTGACCAGACTGTGCAGTCCCTCCATGTCTGCCACCCTCCACCAGCCACACAGCATCTCTGCCAACACACACACACACAATTTTAAAACTTGTCACAAAATTGTTTAATTTCCAGCAACATAGAGAAGTTGTATTACTGAGTGGCCGTCTGTCTGGGCAGTAAATACTCCAGCATATTTGACTCGTGCATACTGGCAGTGAGCCATTTTTACCCTCAGGGATGGGCTGAGGACTAGGGTAGTCCTGGGTCTTGGCCACTTCCACAGCAGGGAACGAGGCACACTCGGGCTTGTCACTCTGTCGCTCTGGGGTCTCACTCTTGTTGTCCGAGTTGTGATTTGCCAGGAAGAAGACCTTTTTGCCATTACCCTCTGCATGTTGGGAGGCCAGATCCAGCATTGGGGGTAGAGAAGCACCAGAGAAGGGCATGCTGGGACTTGTTGCTGTGCTGGACACGTCGCACCATGTCAGCCGGCTTTGATGAATGCCAGACTTTACTTGCTGAGGGGGAAAAATACACACACTTTAAATTATGATCAAACTTTACTTCCACATACATGACTCCAACTCGTGTTCTCAAAAAAAAAAGCACAGCGTGATCTGAAATAATTGTGACTGAGATTATTGCCATCAACCAACCTGAGAGACAGAAGGTTGAATGTTACTGATCCCAGCAGGAGCACTGGAACTGGCTGTAGCTAGGGGCTCGGGGGAGGGGGATTCGGTGCCGACGGTCTGTAGGGGAGAGGAGGAGTCTGGAGGGCTGGAGCCTGAGGTGAATGAGGACTCGTCACAAGGAGAGCGAGGCAAGAGGCTAAACCACTGGTTGCTCTTTTCCATCAGCATCTTGGAGAGCTGGTCCTCATGAAAGATAGACTGAGGGCTGCAGGTTATCCAGGGATTACTGAGCAGGGGGGCACTACGCAGAGACAGCACTGAAGTATCTGATTTATCCATCAGTCCCTGCTGACTAGTAGCTGCCTGAGAGGTAGGATATGAGGGATAAGATGCAGTGGTAGGAACTTTAGCAGAACGACTGCAGTGAGAGTTGATGTCAGAATCTCGAGCCATTTTGGCTACTTCAAGGAGTTTGCTGAGCTTTGAGAAGGAGCCGGGTTTCTGGAGGAACAGATTGAGACTGTCCCTGTCCTGCTGGCCCTCCGGTGTGGTTGTATCGCCGTCTGTGCTCTGTGCTGGGCTGGAGACCACTGGCTTCTTTGTCTCTTCCAGCTGTTCTTCTTTTACACGGATCACCGCAGCAGTCCTCTGTCTTTTCCTCTCTTTCTCCATCTCTTCATAACCTTAACAACATGAAAAGGTAACCTCAGCACAAGTGCACAAAAAAAATTCTATCCTGTACATGGTGGTGAACAAGGACAAAAGTGAACAAAATCTGAGCTCTCCATTTTGGTTTGCACCTTCACCGCTCTCCATGCCCTCCACAAAGACGCCGCTACACTGCGGAAGCACCCAGTAACGTCTCCTGTAGCGGTCCTGTCCAACCGTCATGGAGCGCAGTGAGTGAGATGAGTCAAATAACTTCTGTCTGATCTGACTCTGTTGCTAGAGAGAGACAGAGAGTACAGCAGGTTGAACTATGCGGTATTGAATTCATTGATGTACTAAACCTGAGAACAAATAGTCTCATAGGGTTGAATCTACCTTGTATGTTTTCTCCATCTGTTTCTCCAGCTCCTCCGTGCTGGCTGAGTGTACACTGTCGTCCTAGATGAACAGATCTCATTAGCATGAGGCCAGTGGACCGGCTGACATTTACTATAACAAACACTGATTTAAGCTGCTCCAGTAAAAGCACCATGCTGTCACTGACCTCCTCTTCACATATCTCCGCTGTCTTCCCCTTCCTCCCCCCCAATTCTTCTTCCTCGTCGTCGTCGTCCTCTCCTTGGTCTTCACTGGTGTCATCCTCGTCCTCTTCCTCCTCACTGTCCCCTTCTTTCCTCTTGCATTTGTTTCTGGCAGCGGGGATGACAAAGGTGTGGCTGTCCTCTCCCCCCACACCGCTGTCCCTTTTCCCCGTCTTCTTGGCGTGGATGCTCCTCAGTCTTTGAAGACAAAAATGGACAGTCAGGTTATGTGAGAAACCCAGATTATTTCAGCATCACCATCTCATTCAGAAAATGTGTAAGCAGAGAGTCTTTGAATAGCAGCTTAGATCATGCATATTACTCACTTGCGAAGTTTTCCCTCGACAACCCACTTATCCTTCCTCAGGTTGGTAATGTGATCTATGTTTCTGTCGATCTCACTGTAAAGTATCAGACGATATTTACACAGATGTTTCTGTGACCTTTTTTGCATTACAAAAAGAGTATGATGTCTTTGCACCACACTGCTGTGGCGTTACCAGTACTACTGAAAAATTGATGACATGTAGTTTGAATGCCCAGGATTTATTTTAATGTTAGTTTAGTTCATTAACAGTGTGCTATAAAAAAAAAAAAAAATGAATAAAATAAAATAAAAAAAAATAAAAAACTTTATTCGATAAATAGCTAAATCAAAGAAAAAGCCTCACCTGATCACAGCCTTACTGCAGCAGAGCTCGTTGACTAGGAATGCTAGCATGGAGGCCTTCTGTGACGGGCTGTGGGCCTGAAACGCTTTGGTCCTGAGGCTGAGGGCCAGAGCAGCCAGCTCCGTCTGCTCACAGTGACCCTCCATGTAGATCTGCAGGATCTCGGACACGTTGTCTCGGTTGATCCCCACATTAGTCAGGTGGTCCCCCAAGGCGGTCTTATGCTGAGAGAAATAGGGTGTTTAAAAAAAAGGGAGTTCAGTGGTGTTAAACAAACAACAACACTATCTTTTTATATACTGTAACCCATGAGAGCAGGGCACAGGTGACGGGTATAGCCCCTAAGAGCGCAATGAGAAACACTATCCTTTTGAGCAATTATCTTTTAGTAAAGTAATTAACGTTAAGTGCTTGAGTGACCGCTGGGATGTGTCTTGGACACATTTAGGATGTTCAGATATTATGAAACATGATATTTTAGTTGACAGTCTCACTGAATGTACACATAGCCTGAGAGCCTCTTAATACGACTAGATGTAATAATGCATTGTAAGGTAAAGACATGATTGCACCCTAAGGCACAGCCTTCTACAAATAGCTTTGGGGAATGCAAATTTTGGCTTAATATGTATAGCAGGTGTGTGCTTTTTTTCTGTATCTGTGCACATACGGTACACATGCAAATTACAGAACGGGAACCATTTGCACTTCAACAACAAAGTCTCACCTTGTGACCTGCAGGTATACCAGGATCACACACAACGACGGAGAGCATGTTCACCAGCAGGTCCTGCACCTTGCCCATACTGTCCCCAGTGTTGAGCAAACCCTCTTGAAGGTCTCTTAGGTTAAGCATGTTTGGATTTGTGTCTAGCCTCAGCACCTTCCCAAAGCTGCGCAGAAACTGCAGCACCATCAGGCATTCAGAGAAGGTACTACCCGGTAAGACCAGACCAGGGATCCGGGACAACTCTGGAAGTGGCTGCAGAGTAATAAAAACAAGGTTTAAAAAATAAAATAAGTAATATTTGTGTCCAAAAGATCTTAAAGACTAAGTTGGAAAACTTTTCCAGCAGTACTTGTTTCAGACTAGTTTGTCTGTCAGGTCCTGTTAAATAAATCTCATGAATAAAGCCCAGAATTCTTTGATTACAAGTAGCAGATCAGTAATACTGTAGTTGGTGTTATGAAACCAGTAGCCACTTGGTGGCAGTATTTTAACTTAAACCTGCTTTCTTTTTAATCTATTCCAGATGCTTTCAGTGATATTGCACATCTATTTTGGTAGATCAGATAGTGAAACAATGAAACCATAAATTTGTCAAAGAGCTTTTCTAATCTTCATGCCTATAGCTCCTACAGTGATTATACTGATTTATTTACATGTCAAAAAATCCCCTTGCTGTCGGAAAAATCCAATCTTTTCCGCACATACCTATTCCACAGATGGAGACTATCCATGCTGACACACATGGACTCTCATTCTGTGTGAATACCTTATGATCTGCTAAGCACATGTCTTCATTTGGTTTCTTCAGCTCCTTCGCCTTTTCAAGTTCCAGTCTTCTGAGCTGCAGTTTCCTCTCCTTGTTTAGCCGTTTCTCATCCTTCTTCTCTTTCTTCAGACGCGCTTTCTCCTACAGCCGAGAGAGAGTATTATTGACACTGCTGCTGACTGTTGTGCTCGGAATAACAGTGGGTGGAACACACAAACTATGACCTCAATTAGCACACTGTTGAATCATCAAAAATAATAAAATGACGAAGGGAGGAAAGACAAAATGAAACAGTGTAGCAGAACAGAGGAGTGGGGATGTGAGCGGATCAGGCGTTACCCACCTCTGCCTTCTTACGGGCCTCCACAGCCTTCATGAGCATCATGTGCTGCCGGCGTCTTTCCCTCTCCTGGCAGAGCACAGACACATAGTTTATTTCCTGTTCATAGTATTATTTGAAGGGAAAATGGCTCATGTATGCATTACACAGTACGAACACCTAGTACATGCACAGTAGAAGAAGAAACACAGATCACCATTTGTCACAGTTCAAAATGTTGCACATTGCACCGTACGTAAAGTGTAAAAAAAACACACAACAGGTAAACCAAACGGAGCACAATGATAGACGAAAATGCTACATCGCGGGTAGTGATGCACACACAAAGCATAAGTTAGACACAGCCATTATTAATCCGAGCATGTCAGCAAGAAGGCAGACTGAAAGATACAGGCCAAGAGGTTTAGACGTATAAGCTGCAAATATTAAGTGTTACAGTGACAAAGCAAAGCACATCATTAATGAACAATGTTGTAAGAAAACTATGCTGGAGATTAAATTAAAAATGATTATACTTCCAACTCTTTAATTACTGTGAAAACTAAAGTGTAGAGTCCATCTATGCTATCATTGCCTCATTTAATGACGCCAATGAACAACCATGATAAAACATTCAAATCTCCAATGAGGAAAAGCAAGAATTTGGTTTCCATTACCTCAGTCATGTAAATCCCTGGCAAGAAGTGTATATTGATTTTTCTCAGGCGATAAAATAGATTAGAAATTTGGCTCACGTGCTTTAGAGTAAAATGATTTTGAGGACCTACATTTATTCAATCCAAAACAAAAACAATGTAATAGGAAGTTGGTGTTCCTTTAGGCTATCGCAGTGCTTTGCACCCGGTTACACTTTCTGTTTTTAATCGTATTGGCCAGATAATGGATGTGTTTTCTTTGAGAGACAAATAGCGCAGACATATGGAGCGCACTGTTCTGGAAAAGCCATGCAGAAGGGATGTAGTATGACTGCAGCCAATGCTACACTTTGATGGGAACCATTTATCACAACACGTTCACAATAGGTTGTTAAATGTACAGAAACAAACATACCCATACCATATCTAGTCTATGTCTCTCCAACTCCTAGTAGAAAGAGTTTGCAAAGTATTAAGAAATAGACAATCACACAAGAAAATAAATGCCAGAAAAAATCCAAACGATAGTAAACTCAAAGAAAAAAATACACCCATGAGAACCTCACAGCATAAATTGATAAGATGCATTGTACAAAATAATTCCATTAGGCTACGGAAAATGATCTTTAGTTAGAGACCATCTCCAAGACATTGAGTTTAAACACAGAGTAAGAATGGCTTTAAAAATAATTTGGTCTTGATAATAATAAAAAATTAAAAAAATACCTGGTGCTTCAGTATGACGGCTTGGAGTCTTCGTATCTCCTTCTCCTTTAACAAAAAAAGATAAAGTCAATTATAAACTAAAACATATACACAAAAAATGACAATTTGAAAAGGCGAGTACATACTTTACTGAACAACATCATGCTAAAGTTCCCGGCCCCTAGACTTCATTGGTTGAAAACATTTCACAGATTCATGTAGATGATCAAACCTCTTTTTATCAGTGATTAACGAACGCAAGGAAAATATCTTTTGCACTGACGAGCAGCTCAATGGAGCAAAAACATCATAGTGCAGACAAGTAAGGGAAAAAGAATGGGAGTCAGATGAACAAGGGAGCATGCTCATCTGGCGCACCTTGTTTCGCTTCTCAGCCTCCAATATTTTGGCATTGGCTGCTTCTTCTTTCTTCCTTCTTTTTGCCTGTACAGAAGGAGAAAGAATAGATTTATTTAAAAAGACATACAGTACATACACCACAGAAAAACTTGGAATAAAGAAACATTTTATTGGGGCAGTAAACTCTGATTAATGAAAATTGAATTAAGATCATTTTCATCATCAAGTGAAAATAATAAAAAAAGACTTAAATGATCTTAAATGTATATAATAAACGAATTAAGTTTTGTTCTTAACATTATGTATACGTTTGCTAGATTGTTTATTTTTTTCAATGGAAAATGTTCCACAGAAAGCTTAATAGTCAGCGCGGCTCACTGATAACGTCACATCTAACATATTGAATTCCTGTGCAATGAGATGATTATGTCCTCCCATTAACAGTGAAAGACAAAATGGTTGCAGTTATTATGAAACACCAGCAGGCAGTGAGAATAAATTAAGCAAAATTCTATCAGTAATTACAGCCACAACGAAATCCTGTTAAGAGCTGCTGCCAAGCGTGTCAACTAAAATTTGATTTATAAAAGCTAAAATACTTCACAGCTGCTATTAGTGAGAGAATGCAAAATAGGTATTTCACCTAGCCCTGGTAAACTCTGGGCCACCTCTTACTTAATGAAATACTGTATTTTGTATTAAGCTCCATCACGGTTTGAGGAGATTTTCATATTCAATGGCACTTTTTCAAAAAACCAATTAGGCATTAGTCATATGTACCCACTGGATGTGACTAAAAGTGGGGCCACATAATTTAGGAATAGCCTTTGGTTGGGTTTAAAAAAAAAAAAATCCTATCAACAGCAGAAAGGAAGTGTTTTAGAATGTTTCTGCAATAACTTTCAGGACGAACCTCGAGAATTTGCTGTGCACGGAGTTCTTTCTCCATACGAATTTGCTGAATGCGCTTGATCTTCTCCTGGTAAAAGGATGAGGGCAAGATCAAATGAATTAACTGTTAAGTCATGCATGTCATAGAGTGGCGGAGGGGGGAGTACAGTGGGTCTTTGCAGACAGGAAAGGTGCAGCATTTAGAAGGATAGCAAATTCCTTCCAGAATTTTAAAAGCAATCTGACTGAGCTTAAAACCTTTTTTTTTTTTTATGAACAGAGAAGCTGCAGATGGTTATTAAGCTTTGCACGGAAAATTAAACAATGCATGAAAAGGAAAGTCCTTACTTGCTGTTTAACAATCTTCATCTGCTCCCTCTTTTTCCGTCTCTCCTCTGCGGCCATTTTTGCTGGACGACACAGACAAATTAGGCTTGCACACAGCATTGTGATGTAAGTGTGAGTTGAGGTTAGGTGTTTACCTCGCTGCTTCCTTGCCTCCTTGGCTGCTTGTGCCATGGCCTGCTTCTCAAGTTTCCTCATCATTTTGATCTGAGCTGCCTGTCGAGCTATTTCTGCAACATAATGACATACAGTATGTTAATGAAATCACAGACCCTATTAAAATTCCCAAAATTCCTCTGAACAACCTCCAAAGAAAGTGCCAGGAGTTTTTGCAACAAGCTACTGTGTTTACGTGCAATAATGACATTGTGGCCCATTGATAAATCAATATCGCTGTCTCTTCCTAGATGGTTTCTATCATGTGTGATTCTAGAAAGAACCCATTACAGCTTGATTTTAAGGATATGACGACAAAACATTCACCAGTGATATTTTACATTGTTGGGAATGGTTCTGCTAATGAGCTCTACATAAACTATTAAACACCTTTGAAGCTTAGCTGGAAATATAATGAAGTGATCACTTTATTACCAGTTGGCTTACTGTCCTCACAAAAAAAGATAAACACCCCAAAATAACCATAAATGATAGTTGTTTGTGTTTCATGGTTGATTTTCTCTTGACCAGGTGCTGCTGACAGTCTTCTGGGATGTTAACTGACCTTGAGCCTCCAGTTTGCGTAGCAGCTTCGCATCACTGACATCGTGGAAGTTATTTTCATCAATATGAAGAGGATGGGTCTTCCACCTGCTGTCCCCAGTGTCATCACCAATCGACTGCCGCTCAGACCGTGTGCAACGGCTGCGCCTCCCATCCATCGCTATGATACTGGGAGCGATCTCCTCCTCTGCCAGCAAGAACCACTGTAAACCCTGGGTTTGTCAGACGGAGAAGAAATACATATTAAAACCAACAAACCAAACAAAAATGGCTTGCCTGATTATCTGCCCAATGCTTTCATTTATGGATTTTCATGTTGACTGGCTTAAGTACTTAAAGCTACAGCGTTGAGGGTGTGTAGGGAGTACGCTACATGCCTCAGAATGCATCATGCATTTAGACAACAGCGGTACTGTTCTTCATGCTTAAAACATATTTCAAATAACTTTTTCCATTTCATAAAATAATAAAAGATATTACATTATACATTATTTTACTTTTCCCATCTGTGATTGAATTACACATTTGTTCATAATCAATGTCGACATCCTTCAGCGATGACATTAATTATTGAACACAAAAAGAAGTAGAAACAATTACCTCCGGTCCTTCTCTGGCTTCGTAGAAGTCGCCAACTTGAATTTTTGTACTGAAGCTGAAATTGTCTCGGGAGATTTCAATTATTCCATTCCGAAGTAAGTACTGCAGACAAATGAATAATGCATATTAATTAAAGAAGTACATATTAACTGATGCAGTGAGCATATGCAATCACATAAGGCTTTAAAGCTGCATTCAATAAGACAAAGTTAAACATTGTAGATTTACCTTCATAACATCAGGATACTGACGCAGCTTCTTCCCACACGGAGCAAAGTAAGCAACCTCTCCCTGTAGACGACCCGCCACAGTCCTGATACGGGTCTCTCTCTGCCACCTGAAAAACAAAGAAATTGCAAAAAATAGCACATACACTACCATAGAGGTAAAACAACGACAGTGTTATTATTGGGACAGATACAGTACACATCATCCTCTTGTTCACAACAGCAACCAAATAAGGAGAGAAACTATGTAAATGATGTCTGTACAGCTGTGTGGTCCTGTGGCCTTGTCTTCCTCTGACCCTTCCAGTAATCACACTCCTATATGGCCAAGCACCAAGTGGGGCTACCCCTCAGTTCCCATGAGCTCCGCTGGAGAGCAGCCATGGCTTACACACAAGACATGTCGGCGGTTATCCCGCACAGAGAAGGGGTTAATATCCAGACTTATGGCCTCTGTTTCCTGCGAACCTGCTGATGAAAGACATCCCTAGAAGATGAAAGGCGCTCTGATCCAAGGCTGCAGAATTTGTGGGCAGGGGGCTACTAATGTTGCATGTCTGTGTTGAGGCTGTATGCAATTAACCCCTTGATGCTGAAGTGCTGGGCCTCATTTCATTTCCTGCCTACTGCTCAAGACCGGAGTTTTTAAAGGCCCCTAAAAGGATGTTTTTTGTAGTCTACTCCTATACAGCTCTTGATGAAACGTCACTGTTCTCAAATCAGGAACTCTAGTGGAGCTTTTTTTACAGTAACATTTACAGTATTTACTGTGGCACAAGAACAGTACTTGTTTAGAGAATGAAGTGTTTCTTATTCCTTTTTATTACGGGTGTGAATGTGTTCACACTGAAGGTTTATTGATCAGAAACACAATTCATTGTCTGTTGTATGTGGCAAACCCAGAGATATGATAATATTTGCCGTGGATGATCATGTGTCTCAGGCTGCTCCACAAAGACCGTAGATAACCTTTAAGGAAAGGTCACTCGCCAGTCTTCGGTAAGCTGACATTTTACTACAACACCAATTGCGTAAACACAAACAATTCAGGAAGTAGAACAGTAAGGACAAATGGAACATGGTGAGACTGTCAAACCTTTATGCGTTTCTTTTGACATGAAGTGCATGCACACTAGCTCACCCAAACTCAAGAGGCAACCGCAGAACTCCCTCGTCAGTTACTCTCCTCCTCTTTCCTGATCCTGGAAAACAGGAGAAATGACTCAGCGCTTTTCGCACCTCCATCCAGGAGGACGTGAGCAAATTCACAAACCTGCCATGTTTACAGATATATCCACTTCACGAAACAAGGAAGGGGGCAAAACATTATTGCAAGTATAAAAACATCAAACAAAAAGGAGACCCTGTTATACTGTACATCAAGTTATTGTGGATAGCTGTTTTATATATTAAATGGCAAACGTCACATGACTTCACTTAAATGACCACGCAGGTCAGTGGAATGTGTTAGCTCAGTTCACAACAGCAATGCCCTGACATGTATGGACATCAATATCACATATTAGACAAACAATATTCAGACCTTTTGACACATAAGAGAAGGACAAAACACAGGAACAGAGCTTGTACAGCAACAAGCCTCACCACGGTCAGGACTAGTATTAATAGTGTGAAATACAGTTATATTCTGTATTTTATAAATGTTTCTTTTACATCATTGAGATTAATTCACTGCATACACTCTACTTTTACCATTATTAAATGTAAAAGGAAATTAATACTTCTCTATTACGACAAGTAAGAACCCAGCTCTGTTAGTAGCGTAATATGCTCCGTGACTCATCCAGTATCAGATGTGTAAAGCATCTGTCTGCATTAATAAAGCAAACGCTGCTGGGGACCATCAAAACAATGACACAACCAATTTCTTCCAGAGATCATTTTAACCTGGAACTATTGAGAGATGCGCATCCATGTTTTCATACTGGAAAATAAACGTACTTTTCCACTGATGGGTTGGATGGTCTGAATAAGCAAAGTGAGTGTAGAAAAAAATAAATACCATGTTGACTTTTGTCATGATCCCACTCTGAATCAGCTTAAAAGTATCTTATTGAATTGTAAACTGAAGCAGTCTTGTAGGCTGGGGATGCATTTGGTTTTTAAACAAACACAGATTTGTTACCTGGCTGTGGGGCGAACGTGAAGGATGGCGATATGGTGCTGTGGTTACTCAGTGCCCCTGAGCTGGTCACTGCGTTGGGGGTAAGTAGGGTACTTTGAGGCTTGATGATCTTCAGGTTAAGCTGGGAGCAGTTGGCTGAGAGGTTCGACGAGGACCTTTCAGTAGACAAGGAGGCTTTAGCGAGTTTCAGGGGAGTCCTTTCTGCATCGCTGTCTGCTTCCGTCTCACTGCGCTCCTTAATATCATCCTCAGAGCCATCAGAGTCGCTATCCAGATTGCTCTCCGACTCTACAGGGGATACCAGTGTGACACAGGGGGGGGGGGGGGGAGAGAAATGATCTTCCAATTAGCATTCTGCTCACAACCAAACCTCAATAACATGTTGTCAATGGAATATATTTATTCAATTAAGGTCTGTATAATCTAACCTGACAGGCTACTGCCAGAATCTTCATCCTCAATATCATCTTCGTTGTCTTCATCGTCGTCAACAAAGTCATCTCCTAAAGAGTCGTCCGAGTCCCTGCTGCTGTGGATATCAGACTCGCTGCCTCTGACCAAGTCTACAGGTGGACAGGATGCTTTGGTCTTAGCGAGGCTCTTTCCTGCATGCAAAGACTTGGGAGTGGTATTCTTCCTTGGCCTGTGAGCAAGACCTGACGAGGCTGAAGATTTTAGTGGGGAAGCGGAGGTGCCGGACATCTCCTTGGTGCATGTGCTCAGGTTGATGGGCATGAGATAGGCAGGGCTGGTGGCTACCAGGAGGGGCTTGCTACTGGGGGTGCTGCTCTGGCTGCGGGGTTTAGTGATGAGGGCCAAAGGGGCATCCTGAACTGCGTTGTGGATCACTCCATTAAGGTGGTGGTTCAGGAACAGATTGGTGTCATTGCTGTGTGGGAGGGACAGTAAATGACTGCTGAACGTATCCGACGAATGTTTATGATGCGACAGCGACGACGAAGAGGATGACGCATTTTTGTGACTTTTATACCAGTTCTGGCTCTTGGGTCGCAGAGAGAAAGCTTGCTTCACGGAGTCCTTGGAGTGGAGGGGCTTTATAAGTAAAAATGAAAAAGTGACAGAAACAAAGAAAAGAGGAAGTAATTACACAAACTGTCACTCACATTACATTACTGTGGGCTGTGAATGGAGGAATTTAAGGTGTAATAAGAGACGGGGACAATGAAGAGCAGACGCAGGCCTGTCAAATACAGTAAAGAAAAAAAGGCTGCTGTGGAAAATATTTTCAAATTGTTTGGCTTAGTGCCATTGTGCGACTCCAGCTGTCATCGTGTATTTGTTGCTATTGTCATACTCAATCAAAAGCCTGTATTTAATGTACCACCATCATATGAATTAAAACCCTCTTGTTATAGACTGCTACATTTTCCTTCCTTTTCAAAATAGTGACAATAACAGAGTCCTTAAAAGACGACTCCTGATAACAAACGTCCCAAAGCGTAAAAGAGCTAATTGCTTGTCAATTTTGTAAAGTATTCCGAATAGAGCTAAATGCGTTGTCGCTTCTTGTCATGTTGTGGTCAGACTCACATGATTTCCTTACAGTAATTTTTTTTTTTTTTTGTTTGTTCCTTGGGCAGAATGTGGATACAAAAATAAAAGCTGCAGCTTCATAGCACCAATCAATAACAAATATAACTCACCTGTTTCAAATTAAAACTCTTCAAATGTAACAATCTTTCATCCGGAAGGTTTCCACTGCTCTCCTTCGTGCCAACGACAAGCTGGGTGTGCTTCAGAGAGGGCATCAGGAATTTTGGTTTCTGTGGAGGCTTTTGTGAGGCTAACATGGTTGGTGGTCTGGGTAAAGAAGAGAGGGAGAGAGCAACATGTTTGGAAGAGGAGGAGACAGAGCAATGTGCAATATCAGTACCAATATAAATGTATGTATGAGCAATAAAACTACCCTGTGCAATATAAACATTTTATATTTCCTACCTCATATGTGCAAGAATTTTTAACAATTTATTTATTTATTATACCTTTACTGTTTGATTATTTATTGTACTTGCTTAGCTTTTTTTCTTTTGTTTTCTACTGATGTTGCACTATCCACTTTGCTGCTGTAATCCTGCACATTTCTTATCTCATGCTTTGGTGAGATTAAATGAGAGAAGTGCTTTTGTGAGGTGGAATGATGGAAGTGTTTCGATGAGACAGAGAAAGAGAAGGGGTTGTTGGATGAGCACCTGGAGGGGAGTGGCGAGGCCTCCCTGTGGGACGGTGCTCGGGGACTGTTGCCGGCTGCCGACCCCGTGGCCTGGATCACACTGATGTGCTGCTGGCCGGCCTCTGTAGTCCCGGAGCTCTGGAGGAACAGCGCCGCGGACTGCGACAGGCCGGCGAGATGGGAAGAGGAATGCAGGCGGTACGGGGAAGTCAAAGGAATGGTTTCGCGTCGACGGTCTTGAGTTGAATTTCCATCCGCAGTGCAAGGTCTCTTCTTTTCACTCTCACAAGTGTTCTGTGTCAGCCGCTGAGTAGGAGGATGAGGAAAAGACAGCATGTCATGTCAGCTCCTACTGAGATAGCCTCACAGTGGCAGCTCTGTCAGCTAGCACATACATCCAGTTTGCCACCCACCACCATGGCTATTTTCGACAAAACAACTAACCAACTAACATTTACAGCACTTAAGCACAGAGAGGAAATTTGTCCCTCTAAAGCTTAAAACTACTTATTTTACCAGACATATTTACGTTAGTACATTATTCAGAAATGAAACTCTTTTCCAATGGTGTCCACGGATTTTAAAGCCGAGTATGCTGCTGAATATTCAAACACAAACCCTAAAAGTTTGAGACACTTACCTTGACTTTCATTTTCACTTGACAGTCTTTCTCTGAATCAGACCTGCTACTGTCAATGCTCTGATCATCCTCATCATTGTCGTCCTCCATGTCATCGGGATCGCTGCTGCTCTCCTCACCATCGCTGGAGGAAATATCTGACAATGATCCCGATTGGCTGCCACTCATGCTGGAGGTCTCTAGTGGTCTTTTGTTGGGTTTCTAAAAAATGAAATTAAAAAAATGAATCAAGTGAAATGGGAGAAATGGAACCAGGGACACCAGAACAATGAAGTGAGTTTGAATGCAGTGTATTGTACACGAGTGCTTAGCGTTAACCTTTTCTTTTGTCTTCTGGGTGATCTTCTGGTGCAGTTGGCCGAGGTCCTGGCTGTTCTTTTGACACCGACTACTGTTGGCTTTAGTTTTCTCAGTGTTTCCCTTTGTTGGAAATGAACTGGTGGTCACAGCAGAGTTCCCAGTAGGAGAAGAAGCACTCCTACCATTCACTGCTCCAACTACACCTACAGAAACTGATAGATGGAAACTAATGAGAACAAGCAACATGAGTCAAACACATTAGGAGGACAATAAGTCTCATAATGTTAACAGGAGTATTTTAACGTTATAAAAAGCATCTTTATGGAACCACTCTTTGTAGAGCCTCTTTGCTTTGCTTTAATCTATAACAACATGTAATACCATAGGCAGGAGCTGGCTCTTTTTTTTTTTTTTTACCTGAGGTACGTGACTGCAAGTGAGTGGGATCGTGGCCTTTGAAGGTTGATGCAAATATGGGATGCAGACCTAGAAGAGGAGGGAAGAAGGACCCGGTTCCGCTGGTATGTGCCTCAGATGGCCGCCACCAGTCTGGAGGGGGGGGCGAGATACCATGCAGTTAGGCACAAACTGACACTTTATCTTGATGTGCAGAGAATTAAATCTGCCAACATGTTATAAGAACACGTTTTAGCCGACCTGTCAAAAGCACTAATCGCCTCAAAGTAAAGGTTTGCATTGACAACAAGTGAATTCCACTTATGTCATCCCTTTATGTTGAGAGTTGAATAATTAAAGCAGAGGTCATCTGCTAGAATAGCTGCAAAGATTCACCTCATCTACTAGAAAAATCACAGCTGCTGCAGTTTCCCCAAGTGCAGCATTCTTCTGAAACAGCAGCTGCTTTCTAAAACCTACATTCACTCTGTGCTGAGTGTCATGATATCACTTTAAGAGAAGGAAATCAGATAACATGGAGAAATTCTTTCATTATTTTTGACATGAAAACATGTCAAAATCTGAAAAGGGAAGAGAAAATAATGTAAACTACTATTTCTGTTGCAATGGAGTTTGACAATTTACCTCCCCATTAGAATAATGATATAATCGACGAAGTCACCAAAATATTTTCCACGACAGGTTTGAAAACAATTAACTCGACCCTCAAGCAAATTTTCCTCTTTACTTCCATTAATAGAAAAACACATCGCATTTCCTACCTGGAAATGTACCAAACTGGGAGTGAGCAGCCAAGGCAGACAAGCCAAGACTTCCAAGGCCTCCAAACTCAGAGCGACCTGAACTTGATGTGTAGAGCCCAAAAGCTGGATGGCTGACCAAAGGGAAACCATTGGAGCTGCCAGAAATATTTGAACGTTCATCCCCAGGTACCTGCCGCAGATGGCCTGGAGAACAAAGGACTCAGTTCATAGAGTGCTTTAATTATAATACATTAACGCACATGTTAATTTTTTGGTTAATCTCGCTATCTAGAAAGACGCTCTATCCTGATATTCTATATACATATACAGTACACAACAATCGATTGAACATATCATGGTTTAATTATTCATTTATACAATCAGAAATTGTTAATACCGTGATACCATTAAGGACCTCTTTAGACAGTATTTTGTGCACTTTGCCTGTATCCACTCGAGTTTTCCACAAGCTGCTAGCTCGACAGCTGCGAGTACCAACAAAAGCCATGGTCCTTGTTTACGTTCATTATAAATAAACACTGTGTTTACCTTCATACTGATCATTTTGGGGGAGTGGCTTTGGAGGGAGGTCTGAACTTGGCGACTTTCTTGCTAGATTAAGCGACTTTTGGAGCAGGTGCTGCTAGTGCTGCTAGCTGCTTCCATTGGAAAAGAGTTGGCAACACTGGGCTGGGCTTTTCAATTGGATACTTTCAAAATCTAGCTTACTTGGTTTCTCCAATGTTGCTGAGCCCAACTTTAACAACCCAGAGCAGCCTGATAAAAGCAAAGCCCAGTTGATTTGTTCTGTGTAAATGCAAAGCTAACAAGGCTAAACAGTGCGTCTTATTACGGTTGTTACAGGACATAATCAGCTGTTCATCTGGGGAAGTAACTTTGGCTACAATTCCTTGATCAATTTAAAATGATCAACACTATCTGGTCAATAAGCTATAAATGCATCTAACTCTAACTGTTGATACATCAAACCCTAAGCTTTTAATGTAATCTTACTTCAATGAAAAGGTTAGTGCAGTTTAACTGACATGAAAGTGGAGCTAGAAACCCTAAAAACCACACAGGCCTAATCTGTAAGAGTCTGTTAAGGTTATAACAGCACACCTGCTGTATAGGAACAGTGAAATCTTTGAACCACTACTTAAAAATAACCAGGTCACGCCTTTCCTCAAACGCCACTCTGGAGTCAGACACTTGTTCTAACTGGGTTAAATTCACAAGGAGGGGATGCATAAACATGTTTCTTAGATCTCACTCACCTAAAGCAATTACAAAGCTTTTAAGAGTATGAAAGCTTGAGAACAATTGTATTCAAAGGGGTGTAACCATCTCTGGTCTTGTGGTATCTTTCTTCTACTTCCCACAGGGGATAGGACATCTCTTAAAAGAACTGAATTTACTTGATAATCATAACAGCTATGCGACTACAGAGGTGCCAATGTGCTGTATAGTGTTCAGCCCAAAATAAATTATCTGGGAAATTTCTGTGCACGTTTGGTGTGGGGGTTTGAATATGAATAATTTATGAGAATGTCTCTAATGTGTTCTTCATTGTGATAGCACAGCAAAAAAAAAAAAAAAAAAAAAAAAAAAAAAAAAAAAAAAAAAAAAAACACAAAAAGAAAACCCACTACTTTTTGGGGCATCTTATCATGAAAGAAAAAAATAATCACAAACCACAGTATGTAAATTTGCACATTATTTTGTGGTCAGGGGTAATCTGACAGCTTATGCATCACCGCTTCTCAATGTATAATGGCTTTGACCACAATTAATATTCAGGGAAAACAAGAGGATGTTGGCGGCTGCATGCACACTGAGAGGCTGACAGACATGTCAAATCACACAGGATAAACTGGAGCTAAAGGTTGTCAAAAGACATTCACAAGGGCGTACACAAAGCTTTTTAATTGTAGGCATTCATTAATTCGACAGTCTTTCCATTCCTATCAAATTGTCTGTAACATGTTAAGACTGGGAGAAGGTGTCTTAAGCCCCCTTATTGTGGCACAATTTTAATTCAGTGTTTTCAACACAGTTTAGTTGGACGTCTCCTCTTAATTTTTCTTCTCCCATGTCTGTGTGACAGTATAGTTATAAAGTGCATACTGATAAAGTCAGTCGGAATAGTGCATTCATTTACATTTATTCATATCTTGTGGATTTAAGGCGGTTTTATTTGTGACTATGAAAGCCGTTTGAAGCACTGCACACTCAAAACTTACCAAAAATAGTTCATCAACCTTGGGCAGAATTATAAGAAATAATGACTTGAAACTAAATAATATATCATAGCAATTAACTTTACGTCAGATTTGATCTTGTGCCTACGTCTACGTGGTGTGTGTGTGTGTGTGTACCACAGGTGGTGAGAAGGGAGCTGCCTGCAGGGCTCGGGGCCGGGCTGCACTTTGAGGAGGGTGTCTGGGGTGGAGCAGGGGAGGAGCCGGCTGAAGAAGAGGCCATGTGAAGGGAGGACGGGGCTGATGATGGGGAGGTCAGCCGCTCTCCGAACTCCATATCTGTCAAACACAATCCAGTCAATACTTAGAGATGCAAGAAAAGAAGGAAAACACACATCTGAATTCCCATCAAATCAACACTGGATTTCAACCACTGACGTCTCAATGTGTACAACTCCTTTGTGAAAGCAACATGTTGTCCATTATCACTACAAATGGCGTTGGCCGATAATCCAATGGTATTGTTTATTGTATTGTATTAGTGCTGAAATGATTGGTTTACTAATAATAGACAGAATTGTTTTTATTTTAGAACTATTTTCTGTTGTTGAAGTCATTTATCAAGCATCATTATCCCTTTTTGTATTGAGTAAATGGTCAATCTACTAACTGTATAATAAAATAATATAATCTGCTAACATAATAATTACCAACAACCTCTAGTTGCAGCACTAGATATAATAAATCTGGGTAATTATTTTACAAACTCCCGATGTCAAAATGAATGATTCCAAGTACACTGTAATTAAATACTAATTATGAATTGTCAAGGTTTTGTTTGATGTAAAGCATAACAGCGGATTTCATGTGATTTTGCATTCAGTTGCCTTAATATTCAGAAACATACAGACTGGAGTGATAGACTCACACACACACACATTACAGACACACACAAATTGGTACATTACTGCTGACTCGTCGTCATGTAAAATCTCTTTGCAACTCTTTAATGTAAAACTGTAAGCAGTAAGCCCATCTTCAGTCTCGTAGGAACACATTTATATTCATCCTTCCACAATCTTTACATCAAGTCCTCAATGATGAATAAACAGGAGCCGCAATCATAGCCTCCGCCATTTCCTCTGATGACTCTCAGACCACCGTCTTTCTTCCCATCGTCCAAATCACGCCACGGAGATTCTAGCACTACTGTGCTCTTTAATCAGCCCCACATTTCCTGGATTTTTTCCCCCATTATGTATGGCCCCTTCACATCCCCCTGATCACAAAAGCCCACATCTGAAATCCTCTTCAACGCATGTTTCCAGGTTGGTGTTTTACAGCCAGCCTTTGATATTGTATTGTACATTACTCCCAACAATTTCCAGATCTCCCCGGTGATTCTCCTCCGCACAAGAAAAAAAAAAAAACAGGAGCGGCTGATTAATTTGAGGAGACAAAGCTACCCTCTGAATAGCAAGTATCATCCCTCAACCAGGAACAGCACTGATGAGACGTAAACGACATGAAAGCTGCGGCCACGCTTCACTGGAAAGGCCAACATTTCCTGCGGTAGTGTGAGTTTGTGCAGAACAAAGAACAAAAAGGTGCTTTCAAGATTTATAAATCTACATTCAAAACATAAAAAAAATGATTTGGTGTAATTTTGACCTTGCTGCATCACACTTCACCTGTCATTCAAAGATGTCAAGTATGCTAATACAAATCAAAAAGATTCTTTTCTGCAGCTTAATTATGAATCTGTACAAATTCAATTAAATATAACAGGGTGGAATTTTTTTGTGACAAGGATTAAAGATAAAAAAAAAAAAAAGTGTGTCACAAACTCTCACACTCTAAACGTTATTGTTAATTTACCTCTTCGTTTTAGAGCAATTTGCTGAAGATATGATCTCTTACTGGGTACTTCTTCTCTACTGCATAATCCTTTTCTATCAATATGAGAGCTGTGAAATGTCTGGAGTAGTCTTTCCTTTATAAATGTTAAACACAGATTTACAGTTGAATTCATTTCTCAGCTCTAGTATCGCAAAAACATTCAAGTATATGAGCAAAAGGCAAAAAACACTCTGAAGGAAAAGACTGTTTTGCAGCATCTACAAAGGCCACCTTGACTTCATTAATAGAACTTAAAATGAGTTTAACAAGCAAATAAGCTTGAAGTTATAGGCTATAAACAGTACCGTATGATGGTTGTTTTATAAACATTTTTAATTAATGTGATGGATGTATGTACACCATCTTGAGCTAATGAAAGCATGTGCGGTGAAAAACAAACAGCAGGATGCGCGTGCTTATATACCAAGGTTGGTGGGGGGGGCACAAATGACTCTGATTGAGTGAATCAAAGTCACGTCCACATATATGACTCCACAAGAATAACTCAGCTTGTCGTCCCCCGAGTACAAATTTCTCTTCAAAGCGAAAACAATGAACGTATCAACAGAATTGAAGAGATTCTAATGAGACAAAACGCCATCAATCATTTGAATATAGGCTGCTGTAGCTATTCAAACAAGCAATCTAACCACTGATACAACACACTCTGCTAGCAAACATTCACATTATATAACATTTCCCATAATAACAGCCCGACGTTCACATTTCTATCGAGTGGTATAAATGCTAAGAATTCTCTCGAAACTTTGCCTATGCAAACTAGCTTGTACAATAAAATAAAGTGGATCAAATAATGTTGAGTTAGTGGCTGGAATAATGTAATTTGCTTATTTGCATGTACCTATTCAACGTCATGGCTAGCTGGAGTCGATCCCAGCATGCATTGGTGCATCATGCAGAAAGTAGTGAAAATGCGTCATCACTCTGCCAGTCCATCACAGGTGTGAGGGCACAACAGAAGACTATTTTAGCAGTCTCCAGTCCCCTTGACATGCATGTCTTTGTAATGTAAAGGGGAACTGAAACACCAACAGGACCAAAGAAACTCCAAACAGAATAAGCCCCGACTCAATCACAGGAACTCCCCCGCTGTGAGGAGGTAAACCAACTAATCCAACATGTTGTCAGAAGCAGCTAACCAGAAATCATACAGTTGGCCTCAAATCAAGTGTGCACTTTGTTTTCTTTTGGCTCTTTTGTTTTTCTACCATTATCTGCTATTTGAATCATTTTGTTGATGTTACTTGCTGAACTGGTTCTTATTGTCAAACACCTGATATTCTAAAAGCTTTCAGGAAGTTGTTCTGTGATTTATTAGCTTACATGAATAGTTTGACATTTTGGAAAATATGCTCAATTTTGCTCATTAAGGCAACATTACCCGTTATTTTTTATTATCGACTAATCAATCTAATTGATTTAAGCTACTTATCATAACAGACCTACTTACCATAAAGACTGGAAGGAGGATAACAGCCTGGCTCTGTTGGAGGGTAACACATCCTCCCAACTAGCATGTGCATAACACTCGGCCATTAACATATACTTGATATAATATATAAAATGTTAAGTGTGCAACAATAAACTGTTAAAATAGTAAACGTTGATAATTAGCATATCATTGTTTGTCAACAGTCAAAACGACTATTAACTGAATTATCAAATTACCATTTATTAATAATTGTTATTATCAAATATAGTGTAACTGGGAGCTTGAGAGGTATGTCAGCTGTGTCTTTGTGTGCGTGATGGAGCTGTGTATATTTTACCACATAGTGCTGTTATTGGGTGCACGTAAGCATTTGTTTTCCGTTGTGTGCTCCTTCTTGTCCGTGTTATCTTCTTTCACAGTAACAGATGGCTGATGCTAACAATGATAATCCAGTAACAGAGTCGTCAGCATGGATCAGCAGTATTCGGTCTGCAAACATATTGTCTTTTCAGCTAATAGAGGGCACACGCAAGAGGAAGAGGTAGTGTATCAGAGAGTCTTGACACTGTTCTAGGATACAGAGCTGCATCACCTAAAGGTCCTTTGCCTGTCCTCCAACAATCTGTGATGAAAATAAAGAGTATGTGGCTGAAAAAACTATTTAAAACAAAGAGGATATGTCAAGATCCGAGTATAATTGCCCTGAATTAATGGTGGCCTATTAATTAGCACTACCGTACATCACAATGCTAAATCCACCTCCTTAGACATAAACATCTCTCTGATGGATTCTATACATGGTTGCTTTGTCATCACCTGCGCACTCCTAAACCCTACAAATCACTGCTGGTGTCCATCATCCCACCAAACACAATTCATTTATTCTGCTGAAAAATGGCAACAACACACTCACTGTTTGGCCTTCGTACTTTTCTAGATGGGAGGAAAAAAAGGGATTTTTTTTTAAAGCCATTCTTTCACCCTCTCTTTGAGGTCTCCCAGCAGACCAGCTGTAATTAAGTAAAATATTTGCGATGTACCTTTTAGAGTGAAATAGACCGTAAAGCGGAGTATGCTTTTGGGCGGGTTTACTGTGATTGACAGGTCGCTGCCGCTACCAGAGCCGTCACTACGTCACTCCTCCGCATTCCAAATATAGCAACTTCTGTTCATTGGTTGCGAAAAACAACAACATAGCCACAGCCGAAATCCAAGATGGCGACGGCAAAATCAAAATGAGTTATGTCGCGATGACTCCGTCCACTTCTTATATACAGTCTATGGTTTACACTCACAAGATGTGCAGGATGAGAGCTCAATGTAGGCTTTTTATGGTCAAAGAATGAAATGGAGTGCGTGTGGTCGCTGTGACTGCAGTAGGTAAACAACAAGTTCAGTGGTTCCCCCTCAGTTCAGTTGGAGCACCATGCTCCTATGACTTTCCATCAGTTCTTCATTCTGCCCGTGTCTTCTGATGACTAGTTATTGTTCCTGGCCTTGACTCCTACTCTACCTGGAAAGTGATGAAGTGCTCTGTCCGACCCATCCCACGAGCTAAGCAAGGGAACTTCAGCTTGCCCTGCATCAGGGGGCAAAACTACACTAACACACAGCATTACTCATCGAGTAGAGTCAGGCACAAGGGGGGTTTCAAGGCCAACTATTGCCTTTTATGTTTGGTGGTGTTGCAGTGGGGGGGATTTATGTACCATTAAAGTCATGGTTCCATGGAAGTATTTTCAAATGGAAACTAACAGAATGTGTACAATAAGGTCACGTTGTCATTTAATAAGGTGACACTATAGGTAACATTTAGTGTTCAGAAGGCAATGAATGCTTTTAAAAAAGGAACCTATGAGCTAATTTAGCATACAATCAAATATATGTAACCCTCCGCAATGTTGTTCACCTCACATACGCAAGAAATAATAATTATACCAACAGAAAATTAATCCACACTTAGCCAGCTTCTCAAATGTGAGGATGC